ACACGTACTCGGGTATCAGAACCAGATATCCGATTATTGGCTGATGTATATAAGTTTTGTGTGGGGGTTGAACAATCACTTACTCTGTCAATGACAGTGAAGCTTTGAGGTGCACATGTGTATATCCTGCTCATCTCTTCATTCAACTGCTTGTAATTGCTCTGCTCTTCGTACTCAATCTCTTCCTTGTTCCCTCCGAACCCGGGTTTTTCTCCTTCATCTTCTTCTATAATCGTCTCGGGGCACGGGAGAAACGGTGTTTTCTCGACGTAATTTGATCCATGTAGACCAACTGCATATGTGGCTTCTGGTGTACTAACTGTCAAATGGCTTAGAAGTGAACACTTTATTTGGACCGGCGACAAGTTTTTGTTCGTGACTGTGAGTTCACAGCTTAGTGTTTCTTGTCCAAGAGTAATAACTTGCTTCATCTCCAGCATGTTGTCTACGTCCCTTCTTGCCAACTCTACCTGCATTTTTTTCGGGTTTCTATTCATCAGACATGACTTTACGGTATGCATTCGATATCATCAGATTATACGAAATCAGATACCAATGACTTGTAACCTGAACATAGTCCTGGGAATCTCCTGCTATGCCCTGAAGAATCCAGCCACTGGGCATCGACCAAGAACTGATTTCGTCGAGATCTTGATCATCGGGAAATATGGCCGATGAAACTCCTCCTTGTATGACCACTTCATCGTCTTCCTCCTCCGAGACCCAGGTGTGAAGAAGCTCCATCTTTCCTCCATGCCACACTGGGACCTTGTACGAGGTTACCATGCCACGTGACAGCACCACAGTGGCTGAGCTCCTGTTCTCCAGCTTCAACTTGGCAATGCACGTCTCACCTGTCATGAACTCATCCCCTCGTATAACCATCCAAATCACAATCCCTCAGATTAGCAAACATAAATGTTACGATTAACGGTAGTACCGATATCTTCGAAAGTGGCTCCATGGCCGGAGAATTCTCTCCGTAGATACTCCAAATTGATCGGAGGGTAAGGGATCGAGGCCGAGGAAGCTGAAACAAATGGAACAGAAACCCCCTTGCACTTCTTCTTCTTCTTCTT